CAAAAAAAAAGAAAACAACAACGTATCAAACAAAAACCCAAACAAAACTCTAAGCGCATCAACATAATAACTCGCCGTCCTCTCTTTCTACCTCCCTGCAGGTAAACATTAATAAATTCGTTGCCGTGCACCTGGGCACAGCTCACCCCCACTTTGGCCGTGACAAAAGCATGTACTATTACGCCACAAGCCCCGCCACCAGCCACAGAGCCTACAACATCGTGAAAGTTCCTCCACCGGAGAAGGGAGAAGGTATTAATTAAAATTATGATATATTATTATACAGTCGAAATTGTCTAAGACGGCCTCCCATAGTGGAGGAGAAATGTGTCCGCCTTTGACAGGTGGACGTCTTTCATAGTGTCATTATAATAATTCATATATAATGTTAAGAAAATATTCAGGTGGTGGGATGGGAAGTGGCAATCTGTACAGGTAATTGTCTTATACAGGTGGCCTTTAGAGCAGTTTGACTGTAATTAGGCCTACTTCCACGGCTGAAGGCTGGAGATGACTTTGACCACATACTTTGTTTTGAAAAAAAAAAAGATTTTTAGGTAAGGTGTAATTGCCAATCCGTGGACATAGACTCTTTGGGAACTGTTGATTGTGGCAACAATAGCGAATGGGTTAGTTTGATATTTACTGACATGATGCAATGTTGTTTGAATGCCTCTACTGTGCTATTTTTGGCATGCTGTCTAAAATGGACTATGTCACATCTGGCACCTAGCCCATGCTATTTTGTCTATGACATTGGGACATTTTATGGATGACTTGGCCTATGCTTCTCTCTTCTTTCTGCTCCCGTAGATTTGTCATATGGGTAGTCTCTGACAGATGACAATAAATCTCCTCCACTCCCCTCGGCTCTCTGCTTTCCTCGTTGTGTCCGGAGGCTAAATGGCAGTCCATTCTCGGATGTTATCCTCCCATCTCTTCTTCTGTCTGCCTCTCCTTCGTCCTCCCTGCACAGTGCCTTGTTAAATGGTTTTAGCAAGGCCTGAAGAACGGATGACATGGCCTTACCATTTAGCTTGCGTTGCTGCGAGTCAGTTTTGTGAAAGTTTTACTGCGCTTGCAGCTACACGAAGTCATATGAGCGCACCAAACACACGTTTGTTGCATTCCCAACAGTTCACTGCCCGGCTTAATTTTACCCTGTGGTAAAGCGGTAATGTTAAACATGCAATGGTGAAGAATTAGTTTTTAAAACAGTGCTTGGAATTAATGACGGTAGTAAAGACAATAATTAAAGCCCGTACACACTGGGAAACTGATACTCAAGACAGTAGCTGTTTCCCGTAGGTCCTGACAGAAAAACACTGTTGCCACCATCTGATTCAGTGGTGTCGCGTGGGTTGCAGACAAAGTGGTGCATAATTGGAAAGTGAGCAAATGGGCAATAGGCTTACTAGCTACTATTAAATTGTAATGAGTGGTAGGCGGGCGCTCTGGTGTGGTCTGTTCTTTCTATTGCTTTCTGCGAGTCTGTGTGTGTGTGTGTGTGCGCGCGCGCGTGTGTGTGTGTGTGTGTGTGTGTGTGTGTGTGTGTGTGT